CCCTACTTGCTATGTATCCAAATGTGAATTTTAAAGGTTTAAAGATATTGATTAGTGGCATTGCGCAGAAATGTATTCATGTGACACTGTATTCATAAAAACACAAACAATCAGAGAAATAATGATGTGACTCTTTATTGTATTTGAAATGATAACATTATACAAGAAGTTGCTGTTGTGGGATACATGTGAATTACAGTGCAATGTTTTTCAGAGGTTGAGCTCCCAACATTGTATGAGATCAGCATGTTCAAAAGAATTACAGACTTTTATATTTTCCATTTGTTGTTTTCAAAATACAATCTTGATCAAATATTGTGCAATTTCTGTTGAATTGATAAAAGAGTTCTATTATTACAATTGGGTTTCAAATTTATATTCAAAAAGGATCATAACAACAGTTTCAAAAGCAAGAATGTGTAAACTAACATTTATAACTCAGACACTACCTTCTGATATTAAAGTTATAAAATCACAATTATTTGTTTGTCATAATAGTTGAACAATTAATGTAAACCAACCGCTAGTAAATGTATCACCTGCAAATTTAGAGTCAATCAACCTTTGTTTTAACATCATGTGTTAGTCTGTCGAATGACAGGACTTCTAAGGTTACACATGTTAGACATCTCTATAATATCTTAAGACCGATAACGGCATTGATCCATGTTTTGTATTTCAGATCACAGATGTTAATAGCTATTCCTGGTATGTCACAGGGATCTCTACCACCTCTAATATGCACACCGTAAATCATGCCTTTGAACTCCACTCCTCCACCAGAGTCCCCCTAAAGAGAGCGATGTACAAATTGTTTATCACAGAATTTTTACTGGAATAATTATTTATTATAAACTGGTCAATCGGGCGAACTCACCTTACTTTCATCCACGTCAGTATCGAGGTAACAGAACAATTTTTCATTTTTATTGTAATGACTTAGATTGGCAGTCTGACAGCTTTGGATTTCCTTACACTCGACAACTTTGGTGTTTCCACATTGGAGAGCTGTTGACGCAGAGAGTCCTAGATGACAATATCAAAAGGTTTGTATGTAAATATTTGTCAACAATGTTACCAACTTTTCTGTACACCTAACATCTGGAACAAACTACCGCTCTCCTTAATTGGCTGAATGTCAACAATTAAAATGAACAGAACACAATAGTCAATACATTTTACGGGAAAGGAAAAAAGTCAAGAATCAAACTTCACTTCAGAAACCCCAACAATATAGCGGACTTGATGCACCCAACCTCAACCAATACTTCCTATCCGACCAGCTGTAATATACAGTATACGTCACTGAAAAAATAACACAGATTCCGCCTGGATCGACATCGAACAAAAACAAAAGAACTCTGTGTTAGACATTGACAGTATATAAAATAAACAGATTCATATCACCTTTTTTACCAGTAAGCAGGTTTTTCTTTGTGTCTCCAATACCTGCAATCTGGACTGTATCAGTTCTGAAATACAAAACAAGACTCAACATTTGTAATGGATAACAGGGGAATTTCTCAGTTTTTAGTTTATTAAGAGTGGAATTTTCCAAATGATTAAAGATCATAACTCACATTTTGGGAGCTTTGCTACAGTCAGTAAGTGGTGCAGGGAGATATCCATGATCAGCATCAGGTAGCTTCAGAAGCATGATGTCATGAAGAGTCCCATCCAGGTCTTTATACCTGATAGGTTCTTCTGTGATTTTCACCTCTTTCACTTTTGTTCCTGGATGAAAACCTAAAATTGCTGTCACTTTCCTACAAATAAATAAAAGAGTGACATTACTTACTAAGTGTAAATGCATCATATTGTAATATTACATGTTATTAAACATAAACACAAGCAAGTTATCTTCATTTCGTCAAAAACTATATGTATTTTTTAAATAAATTGTTATTTTATTTTTAAAGGAAAACGTTCTCACTCTCCCGGCTCCACGTTGTGACCTGCAGTCAGAATCCACTGTGGACTGATCAGAGATGCACCAGACCAGAACTTTTTTCCCTGCTCATCAACTGATACCAGCTTCACATGGTACCGGTGGTCATTTTCACCGCATGGGACACCATTGTATACTCTCTTATCCAGATCCACCACTCTGCTCACTGTCACACCTGCAAGAGAAGATCCACCACCAAGAGACTGAAAGTAAGAGCAGTGGTTGTTGTACAGAGGGTTGGGGAGGGTAACTTTAAGTATCACAATAAACTTTTGGATCACCTAACTATCAAATGCATTGCAAATAAATAAGAGAGAAAATAAATATCAATAAGATGGCTTTTACTTATTGTATTATGTAAAACCACCGAGCAATGTAGCATTTCTTAAATTACATTACTCACACAAGTTTCATCTCTAATTGTGGTAAAAGTAAGCAGCAGAAGTCTAAGTGGTAGCTGATACTCACCGGCCAACAGCAAAAGAAGAAGACCTGTCATCATGGTAGTCATCATGGTAGTCATCATGGTAGCCATCTCTGTCAATGCCTGCCCTCCTAGTGCCCTGGTGGAGCTTTTTTAAATCTCTTCACTCTGTCCTGCTGGCCTTCCAGCCACCAATCACCTCAGGAAGGTTTATCAACACAACCCCATTGGCTAAAGAGAAGTGCCCATTTGCACATTTTTGATCACTTATCAAATGCTCCTGCCCTATGGCTGAACAATGTATCAGAAATACAAAAACTGACTTCATTGTGTCTTCAAATAGATACATATTATTTAAGTGTAAGAAAATATTAGAAAGACTTGGCTTAAAGTTGACTTATTGACAGGAAGAAAAATACTTTTGAAGCAATGAAGTGAACAAATGACTGTGTGGCTGTGTAGTAGGTGTCTGCATTCACTCTGCAGACCTTTAAACTTCCTAGAGATCAGTTTCTTCCTTCAAACAAAGGAAATAATAACTCTTTACATGTACCTTTTGGGTTTCAAAGGTACATGTAAAGTGAAGGTTGAGTATCACTGATTCATGGTGTTTTTATATAACCCACTATTTATTCAATTTCCCTATTTTAAGTAGGGAGGATTATGTATTCTATGTGTTATAGGACATTAAAGAAATCACTTTGGACAAAAAAGACCATGAGACACTGGCTTTCAGACTTTTTATATAATGAACTAATTTACACAGAAATTGTTCAATAGCACTGGAGGAAAAAAGGCCGTCTTTAAAGTGATAGCTTTGTGCATGACTTGTAACTAGGCGGGGTGAGTGTGTGTGTGTGTGTGTGCGTGTGTGTGTGTGCGTGTGTGTGTGTGTGTGTGTGTGTGTGTGTGTGTGTGTGTGTGTGTGTGTGTGTGTGTGTGTGTGTGTGTGTGCGTGCGTGTGTGTGTGTGTGGTGTGTGTGTGTGTGTGTTCCCTTTAAAGTTGTCCGGACCTCACCTCGTGGCATTTACAGGAATATGTGTGACAACTTGACCCCAATGCAGCAACACTAAAGACTTGTTGGACTGTTGGGTAAAGTTATTTTATTTTATATTCATTTCTATATGTTTTAAAATGTATGATCTTTGGCTCTGCTGGGTTTCCTCTCTTCAGTCGTTAGAGTATTTCCATATTTAACTTTCCAGTGAAATGAAACACAAGGTTTTTGATCAGATTATGTCTGTTTGCTCACTCGCTCATTGGCTCGTTAAAACAGAGGACTTCACATGTTGTTATCTGCTGAATGCCCTATGGTGTGTTTGCATATCTTGATTTCATAGCCGCACCGTTATCACTTTACAACTGCTCTTGTTATGTATCCAAATGTGAATTTCAATATCAATCTCTCATTGTAATCTATCACAGAGACCTTTGTGTTCATTCTCTCTCCTCTCCTCTGTCTCTCTCATTTTCTCTCCTCACGTTTTCCTTTCCTCCTTTCTCTATATTCATCTCCTCCTATTTGAACTTGTTTTAACCTTAATTCTATATCCTTATCTCTCCTTTCCTTCTTCTGGTCTTACATTCCTTTGATTTCCAACCACTTTTGGTTAATGTGACTCTTGTTAACTAATCATGTCCAATCGCGACTTATCATCAAGATGTGGCTTTATTTGAGAGAAGGTGAACCCAAGTTTCCGTATTTACCAGGAAAAAAAGTATTTAAATAAATGTGTGCAGCGGAAGATATGTTTTATAATATACCTATTACTACTCACTACTCTTCACTTCAGTGGGTAGTACTGTACTATAAGTCTAAATGTACACAGACTGTATGCCTATTCAAAACTTTAACTTCCAATACAGAAAAATACCTAATTTAGGTTTAATTTGTGTTGAGAAATATAACAAAATACATTAAGCTATCAGCAAGAGAAAAATGTATGTTAACATGAGTACATTATTTCAGTTAGATGAGCACAAAGGTTTTAGGGATGGATTACAATGAAATTGTAGATGCCCTTTGGATACATTACACTAGCAGCCATAGTGTGCTAACCGTTCGTTTATTAACCGTTCGTAAGGCAAATTCAGCAGATAACAACACAATGAGTGTGAAGTCCTCTGTTTTAACAAGCCAATTCAATATTTTTGAAGTAAGCAAACGGACCTAATCTGATAAAAAGAACATGTGTTTCATTTCAATGGACAGTTAAATATGAAAAAACTCTACGACTGAAGAGAGGAGGATTATTTATTCTGTTGTATATTGCACATTAGAAAAATAATTTGGGAGTTTCAAAAAAACACTTTGAGACACTGGCTTTCAGACTTTTTGTATACAGTAAGAAACTAGACTGTGTGTGTGTGTGTGTGTGTGTGTGTGTGTGTGTGTGTGTGTGTGTGTGTGTGTGTGTGTGTGTGTGTGTGTGTGTGTGTGTGTGTGTGTGTGTGTGTGTGTGTGTGTGTGTGTGTGTGTGTGTGTGTGTCGCTTTTTTCTCCATAATCTGTTCAGGATGAATAATTATCTCACTCCTTCTATCCATCTTTCATATCTGATTTTATTTTATTGTTGCCGTTTGTCTCACTTTCTCTATTGCACACGAACACAAAGACCCAGACACACA